AAAAAAAAAAAAAAATAGAGAAACTATATAATTTTCATAGATGTAGAAAAAGCATTTGATAAAATTTAGCAAATACCGTTTCATCACAAAAGTTTAGGTGGGTGGATCACTTGAGGCCCCGAGTTTGAGACCAGTCTTGACAACATGGTAAAACCCCATTTCTACCAAAAGTACAAAAATGAGTACCTCCCAGGTTCAAGTGATTCTGCTGCCTCAGTCTCCTGAGTAGCTGAGATTACAGAAGCCCACCACCGTCCCTGGCTAATTTTTGTATTTTTAGTAGAGATGGGGTTTTACCACGTTGGCCAGGCTGGTCTCGAACTCCTGACCTCAGGTGATCCACCTGCCTCGGCCTCCCAAAGTGCTGGGATTACCGGCATGAGCCGCCATGCCCAGCCAAAAATGCATTTTAATACTTGAGTTAACCTGTTGTAAAATAGAAAAATCATAGGTGGAGCCATTGTAAGTTAGGGGATGTCTATTATTTTGCACTCACTAGTTGGCAGAGCATTAAGTTTAGCAAGTGTTACTTACCCTTGTTGGGAGTGAATATTAGAGCTTTGAAATTACACTTGGGTGGGGGGTTGTACCAAGGATTTCTATAACTTTCATTAGTCATATACTTAAGGAAATACTGGAAACTTAAATCCACAAGTGATTAAACAGTTTTTAGGATAACTTTATTAATAAAAGAGAATCTCAGTTTAATACCTTCAAATTTGTTTGTTAAGACTATTCAGCAGTAAAGAGCTATACTACCATGAAAAAAAGGTATCTTGTTCATTGCTGAATTTTTGTGCCCTAGATCAGGACTCTGCACATGGCAGTATGGTGATGTTCGTTGAACAGGTAGCTGCAGGTGTACTTCACAAACATTCTTCTGGTGTTAGAATGTTATCCAGGTTGTAAGTGAAAACCGCTCACTTGTTTCTTGAGTAGAGATTTTAACATTAAAATGTGCAGAGCCTCACTGATAGGAATGATTGTAGGCCTGCTACAGTTTAACCTTGCTTGCATTGCCGTTCACATTAGGATGCAAGCTAAGCACATTGTGTTAATACTTTTAAATTTATAGTTATTTATCAGTTCATTCTTTTTTTTTCTTTCTTTCTTTTTTTTCTTTTCTGGAGACAGAGTCTTGCTTTGTCACCCAGGCTGGAGTACAGTGGCACCATCTCAGCTCAGTGCAACCTCTGCCTCCTGGGTTGAAGCAATTCTCCTGCTTCAGCCTCCTGAGTAGATGGGATTACAGGCACATGCCACCACCCCTGGCTGATTTTGATATTTTTAGTAGAGACGGGATTTCACCGTGTTGGTCAGGCTGGTCCAAACTCCTGACCTCGTGATCTGCCTGCCTCGGCCTCCCAAAGTGCTGGGATTGTATACAGGCGTCAGCCACTGCGCCTAGCTAGTCGTTCACTCTTTATCTCTGCTAAACATTTGTAATAGTTAGGTGTTTGTTCAGAATGCTTTTTTGTACATAAGTATTTACTATTCTTAAATTATAGCCAGTTGTTTGGGGAAGAAGATGCTGATCAAGAAGTATCTCCTGACAGAGCTGACCCTGAAGCTGCCTGTGAGTAAATTATTTGGCATATGTTTTATTAGCAACTATTATCTTTATTTTGTTGATTTAATTTTGGTAGCTTAAGGGGAAAAAATTGCTATATGTGCTAGATAATGTATGTTTTAACGTGTTACTTAATTTTTTTTTTTTTTTTTTTTTTTTTGATTTTGCTTTTTTTATGTTATCTTTTTTTTTTTTTTTTTTTTTTTTGAGATGGAATTTTGCTCTAGTCGCCCAGACTGGAGTACAATGGTATGGTCTCGGCTTACTGCAACCTCCACCTCCTATGTTCAAGTGATTCTCCTGCCTCAGCCTCCCAGGTAGTGGGATTACAGGGGCCTACCAGTGCGCCTAGCTAATTTTTGTATTTTTAGTAGACACGGGATTTTACCATGTTCTCCAGGCGTGTCTGAAATGCCAGGCCTCAGGTGATCCACCAGCCTCAGCCTCCCAAAGTGCTGGGATAACAGGCATAAGCCACCATGCCTGGCCAAAACAATGTTTTACAAAAAAAATGTGATTTTAGGTTACTAAAAAGGAAATCAAGGTTGAGAGAAATTTTACGAGTCTAATAGAGCTGCAGATTGTTCCTAGATCTCATAATTGGTCTGTGCTTTGAACTGTTTTATGTGTAGCTTTCAGAAACTGAGGTACAGCAGGACAGTCGAGATGATTCACGCTAGTAATCCCAGCATTTTGAGAGGCTGAAGCAGACAGATTGCTTGAGGTCAGGTGTTCGAGACCAGCCTGGCCAACATGGCAAAACCTTGTCTCTACAAAAAATACAAAAATCAGCCAGGCATAATGGTGTGCACGTACAGTCCCAACTACTCGTGAGGCTGAGACAGGAAGATGGCTTGAGCCCAGAAGGTAGAGGCTGTAGTGAGCCGAGGTCTTGACAATTAAACACTGCAGCCAAGTTGACAGAGCAAGACTCTGTCTCCAAAAACAAGAAAGAAAGAAACTGAGATATAAAAAGATGCTGATGAGCATGTTATTTTTTCTTTCCTTGAACTCAGAGTATGTTGCATTTGGGGATTTCCATGAGTGACTCTCTTTTTATTCCCAAAGCTGAGTAAGAGTTCAGTTCTACATTTATTACAATTGAAAATAAAATGATGATTGTTTTGTAGGGGAACCAACAGAAGCTGAAGCCAGAGCTAGAGCATCTAATGAAGATGGTGACATTAAACGTATTTCCACTAAGGAATGGGCTAAATCAACTGGATATGATCCAGTTAAACTTTTTACCAAGGTTAGATTTACTTTTTTTATAATTGTGGGTAGATGGATGTATTGTTGTGCATAGATGTATTGTTCTAGTTCTGCTTGTTTTAAAATAGTCCATAAAATTGAATTAACCTTCTGTGTATATGCCTCATGACGTCCTGATAAAATGATTATTGCAATCCGGATATGCAGTTTTTAAAATGTTAGCATCTCTACTAAATCTATTAGTATAACATCTAAATAGGAGGTAAAATTGGAGGCTTGCTTGCATACCTTCTTAGTTGTCTTTTCTTCCCTCACTTTTTACAGAACTTCTTGGTTTTCCTGCTGCTTCTCATCTTCACTTTTTTTCTGAGACGGAGTCTCAGTCTTGTCACCTAGGCTGGAGTGCAGTCACATGATCTCAGCTCACTGCAACCTCTGCCTCCTGGGTTCAAGCAGTTCTCCTGCC